GAGTACGGCAGTACAGCGCGCTGCAGTGGCCGAGAGCCCTTATGGGTCCTGGGCGGTCGGGGGCGGTACAGTCCGCGCGGGGAGTGGCTGCGGCCAGTGGCGCCACCTCCAATGGACCCGCTGGATGAATCGGGGAGCGGGCTGTGGCCTGCGCAGGACCGGGGGCGGGCCCCGGGGTCACCGCGCAGGTGCCTGGCCTGGCCACCCCGATGACGGCCGTTCCGTTCCCATTTATTCTGCGAACTGTCCCTTTTTCAAATTTTCTCACCCGCGCGCCATAATCTCCCTCTCCCCCTCCCCAATCCCTTTTCTCGCCTGCTCCAGGGCGCGAACCTGCTGCCTCATTTCTTTTTGCTGTGTTGCCGTGCTAAGTGCTTGCCGAGCCATTACAGGCTTACGAAGGTTGACTTAGCCATGCGTGCAATACTGCCGGGTTTGATGCTGTCGTCCTATGCCGGAGTACACTGTGCGAGATTTACGCTGACAGTTTTATGAGTTTGTTTGTTTTGTGATTGTTTTTTGTTGTTCTTGTTTTTTGCGTTTTTCGATTGCATTTGGGCAAGCTTTTGAGCATGAAGTTTTCTATTTATTGTGTATATAGTTTTGAATTGAACTGGTCTACAGTTGTTAGTGATAAAGATTTCATAATGATTTTCATCGGCGGTCTTGAGTCGGGCCTCTGCAACATTTTTGTAACATTTCCGACGGTGTAGAAGAGGTGTGGATCTAGTCACGCGAGCGATGAACGGGTTTTGACAAAGGTGAAATTAAATGTCAACGACTTATTATCATGCGACAGCCAACTTAAATAAGTTTGTGGTGACTGCGTGAGTGCCAAGTATGGAGAAATGGAAATGGGGCCGGATTTGTGTCGCGTGAATTTGAGGAAACCACTTTTTTCCCTTCTTCAAGATTTATGGCTGGCTGATCCCTTGCGCACACTGCCCGGCAGATCAGCACGGGGAGTTAAAATGTTTTAGTTGTCTTGTTTTCATTCCTGGCAATGTAGTGTTTTGCACAGTTCTGTTTGCGACGTTCGGAGACCTGAACGCATCATGTGGCCGCCGTGGTACTGGCGTGGTCGAGGCAGGCACTCCAGGGTAGTGTGCCCCCGCTGGAGAAAGAGAAGGGGGAGGGGAGTAGGCACCGTTACATGAAAGCATGAATGACGTTTACAACACCTAATCGAATTTTCCCATTTGTATTGCCAACATGGTAGATTTTGGCATCCGAGAAAACTTTGATTTTGCTGCTGTAACAAACATCAAACCTGGATGATATCAATAAATTTATAATGATAAGAAGGGTTGGCATGACGAATGACAAAGAGATGACACGGCTCCTTTACTGTGTACGCTAGAGTGCCAAGCCTGATCAACAGTAGCGCAGCCAGCACAACCTAATCCGTTTTCACTTTTCATTTCTGCATCTGAAAGGCAAGGCGGTGAGGTGTCGCTGCCGCAGCCCCTAGCTAGACTGGGCTTCGGGCCGTCAGCTCAGCCTTCCTTTCGAGTTTGGTGATGGGATGGGCCACTTGAGGGTGAATGCACTCTGCGAACAGTCTGACACTACGGCACACGACACAGAGAGAGACGGGGGAAGAGAAAGAGAGAGGGAAAAGAGGTCGGGGGAGGGGGGGTAGAACACAGGTGAAGGAACGGATAGAGAGCGAGTAGGTATTGCGAGATTCTGGTCGATTAGCATTTCTTTTTCCAAGACAAGTCTTCTAACTGAACTAGCGATCGACGCTTCCCTGTTGCTTCCTGTGCTGGTTATATGTCACCCCCACCCCCTCTGGGGTGCGATTAGAGAGTTAACAGAGAGCTCACCGTGAGCTCACTTGAAACACGTTCCCAGAACGTTTCCACCACCCCTCTCACCCTATTTTGAGCGGTCTAGAAGGCGCGGTCCGTGAGTTCACAGTGAGCTCACTGTGGGCTCTCCAATCGCACCCCAGCGCAGAACGGCGCACAGCCCTCTGCTACCGCTCGAAGAAGCTGGTTGGAACCGATACCCCGCGCCGTCCGTCGCCCCGCTGCCGCCACCACACGAGAGAGAGAACAACTGGCAGCCCGTGTGACGAAATACGGAGGGAGAGTCCGCGTCCGCAAGCCGCAACGGCTGGCCCGTAATATTGCTCGAAATTAGAAAGAAGGC